CCCCCACCCCACCAAGCCTCACTTCCCCAGCACCCAGCCCCACTGCTGAGACCCAACCACCTTCACCTGGAAGTTCCTGCAGAGTCCCATTGCCCCTGCACCTGGAACCACCCCGCACCAAGCCTCTGTGCATCCAGATTCCCCCCACACCTAGACTCCCCTCTGAGCTGCATGCACACGTAGTCCTCTCACCCCACACCTGGATCCCCCCCACACTTGGATCCTGCCTGGTTGAGCCTGCCTGGTGCGGAGAAGCATGGCCCCAAGGTGTTTCTGGGGCAAGCTCAGGCCTTGTTGCTGTATGAGGGTTGGGTGCAGCCTCACCACTGAGTCATTGTCCTGGGGTGGGGGTTTTGGGAGGCGGGAGGGTCTGCAGGGTGATCTTCCACCTTTGTGCTGCAAGTGGCCTGTGCTCCCCACTGCCATGCTGGAACCTCTGCATTTATTTAACAAATAAAACTTGCAGAATTTTAAAATATTGTGCACAGAATTTTTAATTTTTTTGGCACAGAATGCCCTCAGGAGTAAAGAGAGGTACCAAAGATAAGCAAAAGAAGATTTTGGTCCCATGGTGAGCTGTGGGTTTTTTTTTGTTGTTGTTTTTGGGGTGGGGGGATTATATGCCTATTTAGATTTAAAATGGTAAAAGAAGAGCTGCTTATTCAAAGCTCTGTTCACCTTAAGACATTAGTTATACAACATAACAAAACCCCAATAATATTAAAATAATCATTCCAACAAGAAATCTGACTGACACACACCTATAGAGATTCCTTCCCACCTTTTATCGTTTCAGCCCTTTCCAAAAACCCTATTAGATTTTTTTTGTAGAGCTCACCAAATTTGGGCTATTAGAAAGACAAGGTGGGGTTTGGGTTTTTTTGTTTTTTCATGTGGTAATGTAGCCATGTCAGTCCCAGGATGTTATTTCCTGGAACTGACACAGCTGTAACACCACTGAATACATCAAATTTGGGCTATTTCAGACCAAGAGGAGAAGCAAATTTCAGAGTCTTGGAGCCCTCACAGCCACCCCTTATCTTTTATGATGAGTGGGATACAGCTCAGTCTACAATTCAGAGAGGGCAGTGAAAAAAATTGATCTGAAACTCTTATTTGCTCTATTCCAGATGTACAATGCCCACCAAAAAATAAGTCGAGCTCTAACAAAGCTGAAAGTTTTTCATCAGTGCCAGCCCTGTTTCAAACAAATGTATTGTTTGAACCTGAACCTCCTTTTCAAGAACCAGAGGCTTAATAACAAACAAATATTTTCCCCAGAAGAGTACAGCTGCTCAGGTTTCTGTACAATCATAAGCAATAAAGTAGTAGTTTCAATACCCCAGCACATTTAAGTGGATCTACTGGGGAGAATATTGACATTATGGAAGAATTTCAAGAGCACATGTATCTATTGTGGAGTGGTTATAGAACTCCTGGTCCTCCACAGTTAGCAGAGTGGACCAGAATGGATTGCAGTGGGGAGCTTAATAAAAGTAGGGACTTCCCACTGAGGAAGCATGGCTCTCTGGGTTTATGTCTTCACACCACATGGGGTCAGAACGAGGTGAATCTCTCTCTACAGGAGGAGAGAAGGAAAGAAAAGAGACCCCCAGGCTGTCAGAATGGCGAGTGAATGGGGAAAGTGGAAAATCAGGGAAGAGACCTATGAAAGCTACAGCAGGAAGGAGGCAAAGCCCTGTCTCAGCACAGCAATGGAGTCCATAGCACAAATGGCTCTGTTAAAGAAGTTTGATTTTGGAAACTCAGGCACTAGCCTTGTCGGATCAGGAGAATGGAACAATTCCAGATGATTTTTGGCTTAACAGGGAAAGCATAAGAATACCAGGTAAATGCCCTGATATTTGCCTTGGGTAGTGCTGCTGATGGTATCCTATGTCTTCTACCCCTCACTGATGAGGAAAAGAAAGAATACTTCAAAGTGAAAGAGGCTTTTGATGCCCATTTCATGGGCAGACAATAGAATATATGAAAAGGCCAAATTTAATAGGAGGTGCCAGGAAGAAGGGGGAAAACAGCTGAGATTTATTACTGCAGTTCATAGTCTTGCTCCAGTGGAAAAGGAAGCTCTAGCAGCCACTTGGGCCTGTGAACAGTTCAGTCCATATCTGTTTGGCTTGAATTTTAACATGGAAACAGCCCACAAGCCTTAGAGGTATTATTGGGTTCAAAACCAACAGGATTAACCTTCCCTCTTTGATTCAAAGATTTCTAGTACAGCTGATGTGATTTGTTTCCCCAACACTGACCGCATACCAGGGAAAGCGCTGCAGCATATGCTCTGTCTAGAGCCCAAATTGAGCAGTGTAATCTTTTGTAACCTTTATGCTGACATGTTCCCAATTAATATTAAGCTGTTAAAGATAATGGTGCAGTAAAACTCAATTTAGTTTTGAGTTTCAAGCTTCCAGGTCAGTTACAGAAAATTTATACAGTAAAGGAACACTAGGTGTCACTTTGAATGATACAATCAAACTTTATTAAAAGAAAAAATGATTAGTTAAGCAAATAAGCATGCAGTTATTACTTACATAATACCACAATTATACTTACTATCAAAGATGAAGTGCATCAATGGGGTGATCAATCTATTGATAACAGAATGAAGTATAGCCCTATAATCCTGGAAACTAATGGGACCTTTTTAAAAAAATATAAATTGGAGCTTTTCTGCAATTTAGCAACACGGCTCTTTTTATATTCTATATACCACTAATTAACATTAAACGGCCTTTTACCATAATTGTATTTCTACCACCTTCTTACTGGCTCTGTACACATTAAGCCAGCTATAACCAAAACATAACAGTAACATAACCCTGGGTCATGTCCTTGCTAACTTTTACTTTCCCATAACACAATCTCTCCAACTTATCTCTAACTTCTCACACTAACAACTTCAATTTCTGATACTACATCTAACAATGATGTTTAGGTTAATTTAGGCTCCAACTTCTTATTTCTTAACTTAAACCTTCCTATAGGCTACAGCAGCCACCAAGAAGAAGAAACAGCTTTAGAGAAAGATGTCAAAGTCTACATTGACCTTGTCTGACAGCCAACTTTAGCAAACAGAGATGAAAAATTAAAAGATGAGACTTGCCAAAGGGGCGGGGAGGGGTGGGGGGGAGGG